CAAAGGGGTTATAGTTTTTCTGTCTCTCCAGGGAGGATACTGAGGAAAAAGAAGTATCTGTGGTGATGTAGGGTAGGGCGTTACTGTCCTTCTGTCTACACAAGGGACCCAGAAAAAAATCGTTCTTCAGTATTTGTCATGGCCAGGACAGCATCTCTACTTTTAGAATCTTAAAATGTATTCTACCAAAGCCCTCAGGCTACTGCAGGCAGGCCAGCCAGCCTTTGGATCTTCCTTTTATGACATCAGCTGAGGGTGATCCTAATTCACACTGGGTGGCCAGAATTTAGCTGCTATGTTGCCCAGGTACCAAAACCGACCATTACTTAAAAAATATTTTGCCAAGAGCTAATCACATGCTTAACATTTCAGGTATAACATGGGTACCTACAATCAAGCTGTTCTATTAAATCATGTATCTGCTGTCTTAATATTTAAGGTTCATAGGCTGCAATTTACTGTAGGGAACAGTCTATCTACCCTAAAAGATTCTTGTTCAAGATGCCATTTGCTTGGGGCAGCGGGCAGCCCCAAGCCCCAGGGAAGACATGATTGTGCTGATTGATCCCTCAACAATACATGTGACCAAGGAAGATTTCTTCATGAAGGCAGGGATGGTTTAACCTTGGAGCAGCTACTAATAAAATATACTACAACAGGTCAAAAGAGTAAGTATAAAGTACCCATCCATTCTGGATAAAACGGTTAGTCAAAAAGTTATGAAAGGCTATTTTTTAAAATTGTGGCAAAATACACGTAATGTAAAACTTACCGTCTTAACCATTTTAAGCATAAAGTTCAGTGATATTAAATACATTCATACTGTTGTACAGCCATCACCACCATCCATCCCTGATCCTCTTTTCATCTTGTAAAACTGAAATTATAGCTATTAATAACTCCTCATCCTCCTGTTCTCCCAACCCCTGTCCACCACCATTACAATTTGTGTATTTATAATTTTTAACTACACTAAGTATCTCATATGAGTGGAATCATGCAGTATTTGTCTTTTCGTTACTGGCTTCACTTTTCCTCAAGGTTCATCCATGCTGTAGCATATAGCAGAATTTCCTTCCTTCATAAGACTGAATAATATTCAAGACTATTGTTTAACGTGTTAAGTAATATCTATCTCAAACCAGTGGCTAATATGACATGAAAGTAAAATATTACAGATATATCCATTATGGTCAGGTAGAAGAAGATAAGGATACTTGCTACTTAATAATGTTCTGGAAATTCCAGGCAACATAATTCTATAAGAAAAGGAAATAAATGGTATACTGTTGGAAAAAGAAAACAAAGTTATCCTTATTTGCAAATCAGCATGGTTTTCTATTGAAACTAGAAAACTGCTTTGAAGTAAGACTATTTAATTAAAAATAAATATATTTATGTTGTACAAACATAAAAACTAGCTGTTTGTTCATTTGTGGTGTAGATCCCACCATTTTGCCTATTCAAGGGCTTTGTTCTTGCATTTTCCCTTCTCATCAGCTTTTTTCTGTCTTGTGGATCATCCCTAACAGCATATTATAGTCTCTCCTGTCTTTAAAATATCCTCCCTCTGACCTCATCATATGTTTTTCCAGCGACAATCCCGTTCTCTGTTCCCTTCACAGCAAAGCTCTTAAAGAGAATTGTCTGTGACCTCAGCCCCTTATCTGCTATTTTTTTTCTCCTTATATAGCCTTTGTCCTTTTTATTATTCTCCTCATGTGGCAAGAGGTGTGAATTTGTCTGGATCCCAGGCCCACTTGAGGTGTGTGTGCTGGTCAGAGCTGCGCCCCATTCTCTCCCTCTTCCATGGCTGACTTTCAGCCTCACCGCTTCACTGACTCCTTCCTTACCCTGTAAAGGTCATATGTGACCTGAGTTGCCACATCCACTGGTTATTTATCCATTCTCGTCTTACTCATTGTCTGGGCAGTGTTCCACCCAGTGGCCTACTCTCTCCTCTCCAAAACTTTTTCACTTGCCTTTTGGGACACCAGAGTCTCCTTGTTTTCCTTCCATGTCACTTGTCACTCCTTTTCAGTCTTCTGCGTGCAGTCCCTAGCTCTGCCCTGGGGTCTTTTTTCTACTATAGCCTCATCCTTTCCGTGAATGACCTCACCCAGGCCAGTGACTCCTAACAGCATCTAGACACTCTGATGATCCCTGATGTTTATCGCATGCTCCTCTAGCCCCAGAATCTAGATGTACACATCCAGGTGCCTACTTGCAGTCTCCACTTGCACATCTAATAAGCATCTCACACGTGACCTGGACAATCTTGATTTTCCCCCTCAAACCTTGTCCTGCTCCACTCTTGCTCATCCTGGTTAATGGGACCCTTGACACACTTTTGTACAAACCCCCAAACCACACTTGATCTTTTTCTTTCCCTCACACCTTCCCCCATTCAGTTTGTCAGCCCACTGTGTTGACTGTCTGCAAATACATCCTGTCCTCACTCTTACTGCTACAGTTCAAGCCCTAGCCACTGCTCTCGGCTCCTGGCCTGGGCTGTTTGCAGTGGCCTCCCCGTTGTCTCCTGTGCTCCCAGGCCTTTCCCTGCAGCCTGCTCCCTCACAGCAGCCAAAGTGACCTTTTAAATAGCTAACCCTCAGTGACTTCCTATTACAATCAGAATAAAATGCCATTATTTTTATCAGTCTACAGGGCCTTAAAGACCCAGTCCATGAGTGCCCTGCTGACCTCATCGTGGCCTCCCCCTGATTCTGGCTACTCCAGCCTTCTCTAGTCACCTTCTGGCCTCTTCCCAGGTTCCCTGAGCCTCAGGTGGTTTCCCCAAGGTGCTTGTGACTTGTTCCATCTCATTATTGGGGTCTGTGCTTGAATGCCATTTCTTCAAAGATGCCTTCCCAGACCACCCTCTCAAATACAGACCACTCCCCCCAGGATGCCTTTGCTTTCACCCTGCTCGGTTTTCTTTTATTAGATCTGAAATTATTATTTTATTTATATTCTTGTTTATTGTCGATCCCTCCTACTAGACTAGAGGCTCCAGAAGGTGGTGACTGCATCTGCCTTATTTCTTGTATCCCTTGTGATTAGAACAGGCCTGACACACAGTAGGTGCTCAGTTAATATCTTTAATAAATTTTAGTACTTACCAGTTATAGAACACCCTGAGGAGAAAAGTGTTATTTACAACAGTGATATATATATATATATATATATATATATTGGTATCTATGTGGATATGTATCAAATGCCTAAACACCAAAAAGTTAAAGATAAGCAACAAAAATGAGGCATCCTTTTTTCCTATCAAATTGGAAAAACTGATGTTAGCCACCATGCTGGTGAGAATACTAGGAAATGGGCACGCTTACTTGCTGTTGGTAGAAATGCAGAATCATCTAAGTTTTTCTAAGGGTGAGTCATAGGTGATTTTTATCTTAGTTTTTGTGGTTTGCTACGTTTCCCTGTCTTCCCGATAATTACTTTTTCCCCCAGTAGTTATTTTTTAAACTAGGAAAAAAAATCCCTTAATTCCCCCCCCACCACCTCTTTTTTTTATTAACCTGGCTATATCCTTATCACAGCAAACTTGTGAAGCTGATCCCAGCAGCAGGGTGGTCTTGCTCTGTTGAACGTCTTCTCTTCAGAGTGTTTCATCTGAACCCCATCAAGTTTCTCTGGAATGGTGCATTACTGGGCATTATTGAGAACTGTATGTGCAGAATCACCCTCGTAAGGTCCTAGGCTCGTCCGGGAGCCCACTGGAAACGTGCAGTGCTAACGTGGAGCCCACCCAGTTTGACATGGGGTGCCACAGCCTTTTCTGCCAAGACTCCGGTCTCCACAGATAGGGGAACCCTAACATTTCTTGGCAGATGCTCCGCCCAACTCCCTCATTGCTTGGAATTGAATTAAAAACAATAATAATCCCAGCCACATATGCCTTCCCCTCTGCTTGGGGCAGCTGGACTTGTGATGCCTGCTCCCCTTAGACACATCCGTGCCCTGTCCTGCAGTGCCCCCGAGGCCGGCCCTCTTGTCTGGGCTCCAGGCTCCCGGAAGGAAGGCTGCAGCTGAACCACCAGGGGACCATTCTTCAGTCTCCTTTATTTCTTTCTTTTCTGGAGGTGTATTGATAATTCATTCAATTATGTCACTTTCTGGGCTTGGCAGTTAGGTTCTGGAGCACCCAGTGTGGCCTACTTGCACAGTGGTCCCCGACGTCTGTGAGCAGACAAAGGCACTTGCTCACAAGGGCACCGGGTGCCTAGCCCCGGGCTATTGCATTCATGCGTTCTGGGCCTCATCCCTCTCAGACCCTGGCCCTCTGACAGCTGGCACAGCCAACCCCAAGAACCTGCCAAAAGACTGTGGCTTCCTTTGAGCTGCTTCAGAAACTAAGGGTTGGGGCTGGCTCAGGATAGTGCTTCCCTAGCGTTGGCAGGCTGAGTGGCACACACTTACAGCCACCCGATATTCCAAGAGCAGGGACTTCATGAAGCGGTAAGAGGGGCAGGTTTTAAGTTGGTCTTCTGTTGGCTGCCCTTGTCCCTTCTCCCCTGGGCCTCAGGGGACATGGCCCAGCAGGGAAGCCGGGGAGCACTTGTCTGCTGATGTGGTAGAAAGGCACTGATAACAAGCCTCCCTTCCTGCCTCAACCACTGGCAAAGGTCTGATTGTGTTCAAAAGATGTATAATCCATCTTCATCCCCAAGCTTTTTAGAAAAAGTGCCCATGGGAGAGGGAGGAGAGAAGAGCACTCTTTGAGCAAGTGTGGTCCTCTGCAGTCCTGTGTCCCAGCTGGGGCCTGGGTGGGATGCAGCCTCCCCTGTACTGTCACAGTCCCCAGAGGTGTGTGGGCCTGGAGCTTCTCTCCGTTTGGCCCAGCCAGCCCTGCTGTTCAGGTATTCGTTTATTTATACTTTAGTGTCTTGCAGGCCATCTGCCCTCAGGCTTGAGGGGCTCAAAAGAATTCTGTAATTAATCCACTTTGGACTTAACCACCTTTTTTACTTTTCTTCTTGCAGCTTAAACTTTGGAACAAATACCGAATTTCCAACATTCCATCACTAATATTCCTAGACGCAACCACTGGGAAAGTCGTGTGCAGGAATGGGCTGCTGGTGATCCGTGATGATCCAGAAGGTAAGGACAACCCTGGTATGTCCATTCTGTACTCCCCACTCTGTCCCCCTACCCTGACCTCCGCCCCCATTGGTAGAGAGTGTACAGATGAAATACATGTGAGTGGGTTTATTTGGCTAGAGAATATTTTCTAGATGAAATTATAGTATTCTCTAGTTCACAGTTAAGATTTTTAAAGAGATCAGAATGTCCCTCCTGGGGACTTTAATTCATGGGCCAGAGATGGAATCTGAGAAAGGAGGTTCAGCTTTGAGGGCTGAGGAGGCCATTGAGAAGCAGCTGGAGTCCAGGGACTGATTTCTAGTGCTGTGTCAAGGGCAGCTGTCACCTTAACAATTAGAGGCAGACTAACTGGGTTTTGTTTTTTTCTCTTTAAACTATTGCCATAGCAAGGTCACAGTCTCTGTATTGCTCTCCTGGCCTCATTTCTTGGTCCTGCCCAGTCCTGCAGCCTTGTTGTTGCCATGGGTTGGACAGGCAGCTCTGAGCAACATGGCTCAGGGACTCCAAGGCCTGTTTATTTCCCCCCTTGCACTGGAGGCATAAAAGGGTCAGAAGAACATCCCTCCCATCACTTATGGATGCATTTCATATTTACTCACATTCAACCCTGCTCACACATTTTCCCGGTAAAAATTTCACCTGCTTCAAAGAATTGCCCTCAGTAAAAACCAGGCCATGGGAGAGCCAAGTCTTTACCTTCTCAAATAACACACACATACTACTCAGAAGCCTGTTAGACATGCAAATTCCCTGCTCTCACCTCCAGAAATTTTTGGACCCATTCGTTTCAGGGTAGGCATTTGTAAACAGTCTGAGCTTCTCCCATGCCTCCCCGACCGCGGTGGCTTTTGAGACAGTGGTCCCTGGACCACCCTGTGAGGAACACTGTCCTGTGGAGCCGGGAGCATATTATTTGCTCTCTTTGCCTGGGCCTTAAGTGTCATTTCATCAGAATGTACAACATCCGGGTTGAGCGGGTTTTATTCTTAACTGTTACTAGATTTAACTCTCACTTGATTTCCTGGGCTCTAACCCAGACCAGTTGAACCAGAATCTATGGGGGTGGGCCCCAGGAGCATCATATTTTTTAATTCCCCAGCCGATTCTAAAATGCAGGTAGTGTTGAGAGCCACTGGGATTCCAGGGCTGGAACTGAAGACACTCATGGTTTAGTGCATGAGGCAGCAATTCCCCAACCTGGCCCGTCATCAGAGGTACCTGGTCAGCCTGTTTCGCTGTGTTGTGGACATACACCTTCAGCCTTGTCCCTGGATCCCAAGATTTGGGGCGTGACCTGGGCTTCTGTACTTTTCAAAAGTCACCCTCCCCTCATGAGCCCTGTGGTCATCCAGGTTTGGGAACCATTGCCTTGATGGTAGGTAGGGCCCTGCCATGGATGAATTCTTTTATTCCTGTGCTTTAGTTGCAGATCCTGTGGATGTTTTAACATCCTATATGATGGTAACGTCTTGCCCTGAAGCTGGGAGGCGTCTTGGGTCAGAGACCACGGGAACAATCCAAATGCTGTCTGTTGCCTGTTTCAGGTTTGGAATTCCCTTGGGGACCTAAACCCTTCAGGGAAGTCATCGCAGGGCCCTTGCTAAGAAACAACGGGCAGTCCTTGGAGAGCAGCAGCCTGGAAGGCTCTCACGTGGGAGTCTATTTCTCGGCACACTGGGTGAGTGTTTGTACCTCTGGGGTCAGGACAGAAGGAGAGCGTTGTCCCCACCAAACCAGCTGCGGTTGGCTCCTGGAGGCGCGACTGCGCAGGTGCAGTTTCCCGGCACCCGTGTATTCTCCTGCGCCGCGTGTGGTGTTGGCGTGCCGTACGCGCTTCTTAGTATATTGTAGTAAGAAAATGATTTCTTTTGACTGCTCTGAAAGGGCATTCCCCCTAGCCCGTTCTGATGAGGCTTCTAATGGTCTCTAAGGGAGTTCGTTTAACTGCTGCCTGAGCAGGTAGGGAGGAGCCCTGGTTTGGTTGCCTGCCATTAGGAAAGTCACATTTGTTTCTGTCTCTTTCATAAACTGGGTTTTGCTGGCCCTACTTGGATCTTGCTTACCTGGCCTCTGATGGCAAATGGCTGGAGAATGGGAAGGAGAAAGTATGGTGTCACGTGGCAGATTCCCACTCTTGTCTTTCAGTGTCCACCCTGCCGCAGCCTCACCCGGGTCCTGGTGGAATCCTACCGGAAGATCAAGGAGGCAGGCCAGAAGTTTGAGATCATCTTTGTTAGTGCGGACAGGTAATGTGTGCTGGGGAAGTGGCAGTTCAGCTTCCCGTTTCTTTAAGGGGCTAACATGTACTTCATTCACCTTACACTTCTTGTTTAGTGCAGAGCTTGGAGAGAGAGAGTGGAGGAGACACAGCTGGGATTGTTGGTAGAGAGATGGATGCATTTCATATTTACTCACATAATTGTCTGAAGGGGAGCCGAGAAAAACCTGTTCTGCTGTAAATATTGGAGAATGTCCCAGTTCTGGCCCGGGTCATTTGGGATTAGGATGCATTTTTCTGATTTGTTGAGCTTTTGGATTGTGATAAAAGGACGGGAAGGGGGAAGGATGGAAGGAAAAAAGCCAGGAACTAATGGAATGTGACACCTATCCTGGATAGCTGTGCAATCATTTTTCTTAGCTCTGGCCACATACTTTATCTGGGGGCTGTCATAAAAATGAGAAGGGCAGACATTCTTCGTGGAGTATGTCAGGTCCTGTTAGCCTCGATTTCCTCTGCTTCTTGCCCTCTCACTGCCTTTACTCATTCGTGACCTTTATTAATCACAAAACCTGAGCCCCAGTTCAGATCGAGCCACCAGGTGCTCCTGCCTCTTACGTTCCTGTGCACTGAAGGGTTTCTGAGGTCCCCGCACACGGAGGGCATTTTGTGCACTGATACAGCCTTGACGTCTGCACGGTGCCATGCTCAGATTGTTGGCCCATGGTCCCGCCCTGCTGCACCACAGTTCCGTCCCCACATGTGAGTGGGGCAAGCTTGAAGGCATGCCACGTGGAGTAACTACATTTTTAAAGCTTTAGAAAACATCAACTTTATTGAAGTATAATTCATATATATAACAGGCATACATTTTAGGTATACAGTTCAGTGAATTTTGACCAATGCATGTACCCGTATATTCATCACAGCTAAGTAGAGAACATTTCCATCATTCAAAAGGTTCTTCTCAGTCAGTCCTCAGCTGCTCCAAACCCCAGCCTCAGAGAGCCCCAGTCTGCCTTCTATCACTTGAGTAGAGTTGTCACTCCTAGAGCTTCTAATACATGGAATCTTAGGTTTCTGTCTACTTACAGGTGTGGTCCTGCACACATCACTGTTGTGTGCACAAGTCAGAACTATCACAGGGAAGCAGTGTCTGGGTACATCTAGGCTTCTTACAAAAGTAAGACCTGTCTGTGCTGAAAAACAAAAAAAGTGGGCCATGCGTCAAGCTGATCGCATGCAGAGGAGCAGGCTGTTGAAATGGTACGGCATTTCAGTTTGGCGTCCGCCTGTTGTGTGGAGGCTTTTGCTTCTTGGTTCATACCAGAATGGGTAGCATAACGCCCTTCCACAGCCTGGTGTCTGAGGAGCATGATGATTGGAAGCCCTGGCATCCGTAGGGCCCCAGGGCATGACTGTGGACAGTGGAGAGAGCCCAGCAGGGATGCATTTGGGGATCATAGAGCCTTGTTTTCGCTGTGTGTCTCCGTAGGTCAGAGGACTCATTCACGCAGTACTTCAGTGAGATGCCCTGGCTCGCTGTCCCCTACACCGACGAGGCCCGGCGATCGCGCCTCAACCGGCTGTATGGAATCCAAGGTAGGCATTCCCGACCCCATGGGGATCCTCAGAAACCCGCTCATCTGCATTCACCACATCTTTTGCTTTCTCTTTAGAGGAACATTTATTTCCATGAATGTTCATGTTCTTCACCATCCTAAAAATGACATGTGGTGAATTTTATAGTACATAAATTATACAGCATTAAACCTTTTTTTTTTTTTAAGTACTTTTCCAGGTGAAACAGCCTTCTCACCACCTGGCCTACTGGCTCTGATGCAGTTGGGCTGTGGAGCACACTCTCCCAAACGACTATCCCAAGGTTTTTACTGTCAGACAGGCCTGAGAGTGGTCTCCGGTTCCATCACTCAGACTCACGGAGCCTCAGTTTGCTCATCTGCAAAACGGGCCTGATAAATGTCTGCCACAAAGAATTGCTGGGAGCATTAATAGGATTATGTAAATAAAGCACTTCATGGTTCCTGAAGCATAATAGCGAGGGCTGAGTAGGTATTAGGTGAGAAGATTGATTTCCCGAAAGTGTTGAAAACTCGGACTTAAAGTATTTATCATGGTGTTTTCAATATAATGATGATTAGTAAGACAGAATGTGTGTTTGTTCTCTTAGATTAGTATCTCCTTCACAGCCTTCACGCACCCAGGTTTTTTCTTGGTGAAGCACTTAACTGGCCTGTTAAGAGTTAAACACATTCTTGTATGTCAATTAAAAAAAATTAAACTAATTTCCTTTGTAGCAGTAGTCTCAGATTCTAGTCAGCCCTCGACAGATACAGCCAATATTTGAGTTCTCAGTGCTCCTTGTGCTGTAGGGAGTGCAAAAAAGACCAATCAGGATTCACCTGTAGATTCCGCAGCTTATGGGAGAAATTACCAAATTCTTCAGCCTTTTTCATCACTATTTAGAGTAAGTACATGGCTTTGTTTGAAGCTACAGTTTTGAATGATTAATAATTTGAAATCAGTGCTTCTCAATTTCAAATGTGTATAAGAATCCCCCAGGGATCTTGTGAAAATGCAAATTTGGATTCTATGGGTCTGGGTGAGACTGAGATCCTGCCTTTCTAGCGAAGCCCCCAAGTGGTGCTGACACTGCTGGTACAAGTGCCACGCTTGGGTGATCAATCATCCGGTACAGAGACCACACTTGCGGTATTAATCTTCTAGGTCTATTAATCCTTTGAAAATTTTGGAGGCTCATGCCTCTTACTAATGAAAAAAGATGAAACAAGTTCCCTTTCCAAACAGAAGTTGAGTGATGTGACATTGTTTACTTGTCCAGAAAGGTACCAAGTTGGATAACTTAAAGGAGATGTCACAAGCCTATTTGTTTTCAGCAGAGATGCTTAAAACGTGCATACCTTGAATTAGGGGTAGTATTTCTTGAGGTAACTATCAGGGTGACCTTAGGCCAGTGGTACTGAGAATTGAATTGCCACTTCATGGGGATAAGTAAAAACATCAGCTCCATTCATTCATTCATTCATTCATTCATTCAGCAAGTATTTACTGAGAGCTGGCCTGACACCATTGTATTCTTCCAGGCCTGGGAAATAGAATTTTGAGTGAAAATTGATACAGTCCCTTCCCTCACAGAGCTTACAGGCCCAGGAGGGAGACACCCTCATCAGTAAATCACACAGTTAAGTATAGTTGCAACCGGGAGCTCTCTGAAGGGACCTAGTGCTGGGGGTCCTGTACTAGGGAAATTCAGAAATTCAGTCTGGTCAGGGAGATAAGAGTATTACACTGAAACTGAGATCTGGAAACTCTAGGAGTTGACTAAGTAAAATGGAGAAGAAAGAGTGTTAAGACCAGAAGAAACAAAGACCCTGCCAATGAGGCCAGCTGGGAAGGAGGCTGGGATATCAGAGAGTAAAACTGGCTTTGGTGTTAGCAAGGGTCCTCTGCCGCCTCAAAGAGCACAGCAGGGAAAGGAAAGCTCGTGAGGGTCGTTAGCGTTATCCTTAGTTCTTGGTGCTAATTTCAAAAATATGCCAGGTTGTGCTTTGTCCTTTTTGCTCATAGGATTCAAATCTTCACCTCAAAGCTACCTCTGTATTACTTAAGGGAGTTGGGACAGTCTTATTATAACTGTCCAGTGGGAAAGGGGTACAGCTCAGCCAGCGTGCATGTTCTTCAGCTCCATTTCTAGGTTGTGGCTAGAAGCTCCCAGAAGGGCTACAGGTGAGACCCCCTAGTAGGCTCGCTAGGACCAGCAAGCTGGGCTCACTAGTGTTACCTAGACTTTGTTGTCCTTCTGCACCCATATCTACATGTCGCTGTGCCCTGCCTCTTCTGATGACTGGATTTCCCATCTTGGTCCTTTGGCAATACTGGGACACTCCTGAGTTCTCTATTCCCTCTTACATACCAGCAGCTGTCTTTGGTGTGTGTCTTCCTCTGACTTCCCTGACAAAGGCCCCTCAGTTATGTTCTGGCCTCTCCTGTTCCTCTCTACCAGGGTGTGTGGGTGTGTGCATGCACATGCATTCATGCACAAATATGCACAACATGTGACTGTGTGACACATTTGGGCCTTGAAGCACCCTCACAGACGACGAGGGAGGCATCTTAGAGGCGCAGACCAAGAAGAGTGCTAACTTTCCTACCTCTAACAGGCCTGGGGCCTCCTGGATCTTTGCCCAGGGCGTTGTTTCCTGTTTCTTGTCTTTCCACCCTCACCTGTACCACTACGGTAGTTTAAGGTCACCAATACCCCAGTCCTGGCCCTGCCTCCTGCTGCTGAATGACCTTGAACAAGTGACTTATATTTCCTTTTCTCAGTAAAAATGGGAAGTTTCAGTGTTGGACAAAGAGGAGGTTTTCATAAATATTTAGTTAACTGATTAGCTCAGGAAAAAAAGGGGAAGCATTTTATTTTACAGTGGAAAAGTTTTGGATGTCAAAAAAGTTAGATAAAGACTACCAACATGAATAACATGGATGGCAAAGAATCAATATCCTTTATAGAAAAAGAGCTTTTCCCAGATACTAGTCAAAGGGAAGAGAGAGAGAGAAACAATTCAGTAAAAAATGAGTACAAGATAGGAGGTAGGCAATTCACCCAAGGCACATTATCAGTATGGATCTGAAAAATATTCAGCATAATTTACTTTGATGATTTGCAGATGAAAACACGGAATTTTTCTCCATCACATTTGCAATTACTCCCATTTCCCCACTATCTCCCAAAAAAGATAATCCCCAGTGTAGAGAAGAGAGCATACTGCTAGTTGGAATGTAAATTAGGGCAACCTTTCAGGACAGCAATTGGTAATATATACATCAGAGGTCTTAAAAATCTACACTTTAGAATCTTTAATTTATAAATCTCCAGCTTGTAGGAATTTCTGCTTGGGAAATTATCCTATAGTGCCCAGCAAAAGTTGAGGTTCTCTTGAGCAAGTGGTAGATTTTTGGTTTTTTTTATATTTTTCTTTCATCTTTTGTATACTTTGAATTTCATTATGGACCACAATTCTTGCTTTGCGTTAGCCAATCGAAAACCCAGAGTTGAATTCATAACCACCTTTAGCAACTCTGTGAATCTCAACCTTTTGTGTATGCCCTTGATCCTGGCTTCATATTCTCTTCCTTCCTTGTTTTCCCTTCAGGGGGATATTCTCATCTATTTTATCTAGATTATGTCATGCACTTTTTAAGCTGCCTCAAATCCTTTCTGGAAAAAATGGTAGAGTGGATTGAGGTGCATAGGAACCTATTTCTTAAGCTCCAACTAACCACCAATACTCTGCACCCAGCTCTGTGGGAAGTAAGAAGCCAGAAGAGCAGCCCAGTGCTGCCCTTGAGTAGATGAGGAGACTTGACATTGGGAAGTAACTTAAGAGCAGAGTATGACAATGTCTTGAGGAAATAAAGTGCTGGTTAGATAAATGCCATTTTGTACGAGGGTTTAGGAGACTGGCACTTGTTCCAGAGAACGGAGCTGGTGCTGGGTCTCACTTGGCCACCCGACTCTGTCAGAAGGCCTCTCCACATAGAGGCATCTTCTTTCCAAGCACGTCATCAGTGGAATAGAATCGTTTCCTCTACGTGTAGGGGGTTGCCTTTTCCTGAACGTGGGGGCCAGTATGATACATATATTCCTGGTGGTCAGTGCTAAGGCCATGGGGTCACTAAAACTAATAAGTTACCAAAAGATGATCCTTATCATGCATAGCCAGTTTGAGGATGGTGCTGTGCCTGTCTGTGCTCGGTGAGATGCTTCTGAGGACCCTTGGGGGTAGGCACAGAACAGCAATCTCATAAGGAGATCATTAGCTCTGCAAGACCCAGCACAAGTTTGGACACACTGCTGGGGCTGAGGGCGCCTGTCTGCAAGATGCTGGCAGGGCACAAAAAATCACATGGATTGTTTTTGTTTTTTTTGGTTGCCTTCAGAAAACAGAGAAGGGAACTCTCCTGTCAGATTCTCCAGCTGTCCATGTAGAAATATTACAGATACAGGAGCCACAGTTGTTAGGTGTGGCCCAGACAGCGAGAGAGTGGGTGACCACAACTATGGAGGGAGAGAAGGGCGATTTCTCAGATGCATTCATTTGGCATCATCTCTTAAGGCCCTGGCAGTGTGGAGCTGAGAAGTACATCTGTAGTCCCCGACTTCAAGGAACCTTCAGTTGAGGGTCAGAAAGCTGATCCAGAGAGGCCCAATGCCCAGGCAAGCAGTAGCCAGCCAGCTAGCCCCAGTAAGGAATGTGAGATGCATGCAGAACCCAGCTCCCCCAGCAAGCATCCTCTGCAGTCCAGCCGCTGGGTGGCCCCATGGTGTGCGCTCCCCAGCCACCTGTTAGTCTCTCTTCAGCTTAAACCTGCCAGCTTTCGCCCCTCCCCACCCCCTGCTTCCTCATTCTCAGGGTTAGTCTCTCTCTGGCACAGTGCTTTGTGCTGATGGCTTCCTTGATCACGGACCTCTTGGGCTGAGCCTTAGGACTCATTCTTGCCAGCAGCCTGTTGGACATTGCCTGTTGACCTGGATCTGTCTGCCTCTGGCTCCGGGA